GACAACCCCGTAACAATATGCGTTTTGTACTGCTGTTACACAGCACAAAACGCATAATAATTGGCCGGTGCACTGACTGCTGGTACGAAGATGCGTTTTTTACACAATTCCCCGTAGGATTTTGTCGCTAACGGTACTGTTTCTTTTTCCAGCAGATGCTTCTAGCTAAAAAAATTGCGGCTGACTACCATGGCTGTAAGGAAACATTCCCTTAAAATTTTAGCTTCCCAGCTTTCCCTAGTTCCCCAGTCAACAACCCATCCGTCAAAAATTTTCATGCTTTCGTACTTGGGAACTACACAGACTTTGAGGCTGAGTTTGAAGTCATTAAGTCCCAGGAGATAGGGAACATCCCCTTAAAATTCCAGCTTTCTAGGTTTTCTGACTCCCGATATAGCAGCTTACCCGCCAAAATCAGGGCCCGTGTGTGGGAACCACGTAGGCAAGAGCGTCCATTTTGGGGATACAGGTATGCAGATTACGCATGTAGATTGTGTTCCCAAAGTTTTAGCCTTGTAGCTTTTGTACGTTTCGAAATGAAAAATCGGTACAGATGAATACACACACAACCCCTCGAAAATGTGCGTTTTTGCATTGCACAGATGCAAAAAACGCATAAAAATAACGAAACCGATCATATCATCACAGAAGCTTGGTACATTCCGATGGATGTTTTCGTGGCACTTTTCTTCTGTACCGAAAAAGACCATCCCATGTTGTAGACAACAGTACAAATCATCCCGACTCACGAAATACAAGGGCTGCACGGAACCAGTCAGCGCAACAAGTTCCGAAAAACAGATACGGGGGAGTTGAGATGAAAAATCAAGAACATCGACTACTAGACTCAGACCTCAAATATCGATTAGGACCACAAACGCCTCGTTAATAAATTTCTTGAGTGCATAAAACAAGCCGAATGTGCTCGACCTTGGCGGTCGGACTTGTCCGTGCGGTCTTGGTATTCTCTGCACGAGCAAGAATAGCAAATCACCGTGACTGCTCAGACTGACCGTCTTGAGCTCCGGCTCTACGGAGGTGCATCCATATCGTTAAGCAGTTCAGTCCCGATCCCAAGTTCCAAATTCGTCCCTGCCAACCCTAATAAGTAGGCAAACTGAATATTTTGACAGCCATCCGAATGGATTTCTTTCCTGCGAATATAACAACCAATGGTAGTTACCAAAGCAATCAACATGCAGCGTTCACAGAATCTTACTTCCTTTCATGGTTACGTCGATGTCACGCACTTTTCTATCGCAGTATTTCATTGCCAATGTGGTCACAAATAGACACGGTACAAAATTCTCTCATTGCCCAGCGCTAGCTCTTGCGGTTACTTCGTTTCACAGTCATACGTCACTGTTTGCCCAAAAACGCCATTTCACAGATCAGCACAATTCTTTTGCCGGACATTTTAAGGACATCGGCAACACCATTAAATTTGCGTTAGTCTTTGTGCAAACATGCGCATCTGCTACTGCTGTTAAAACGTCCAACTCCGATGTAGATCAAGAAGAAAAAGTACCTCAGCTGCATCAGTTATTTCCCGAAACGCTTGCTCCTGTTCATCGCTCAGTACTGCTTCCAAAGCTGCCTGCAAATCTGAACCATCCAAAAAATCATCAGCAATAACATCGCCATCAGTATCATCATACGCGCCAGAATATTCCAAAACATCATCAGCAGGATCGACAATAACCGGATAGCTCTTTGCTAATATCGAACGCATTTCATCGTCTAAGCAGTTTTCCTGCACGGCAGCTAACAAATTACATATTGAATCCTAAAATGAGAATTTCGTACAAATAAGCAACACAGTAATACAAGCGTTATTATTTCACGCACTGGCGTGCTCAGATTTTGTCCAAAAAATACGTCGAACCCATAAAAGTGACCAAAAATTTTCATCTGATGTTCACTTGCTCGTTTTTACCACCCTGAATTTTCCATTTTAAATAATTTTACTTTTAAATTCAATCCAAATCGTCCCTCTGACATTTTTTGAGCTGGGCTCCCTTCTCCATCTTTTCCTCCTCCAAAAGATCCACTATTGCTTGTCCACTTTCTCTCAACATAGGCAGAAAGAGCCCCTGCCCCTTCCCACATGCAGCAGCTAACACCAGGTGCGCCACAAAAAAGAAAAGAACAGCTGTTCGAGCTCATTACTACGTGATACAACAAAGGCGCTGCACCGAATGGGCTGCTCACAACTGATTTTGCATAATGCGAGACCGGTACAGCCAAATCTGCTTGCACCAGTATTAGAGTTATGCTTCGCATGGGAAGTGAACCAGCGACCTTGCATCTAGCAACAAATCAATTTCCACTTGCGCCAAGTGAGCACATCCAGCCCTGTGTCGGTAAGCGGATATCATTTTTGACAGTAACTTTACGCTGTTAAATTTCCCCTTCCATAAGTTCCAGCCACACCTCCTTTCTTGACGATAATAGCTGATGCACGAGATTACTGACAGGCTGCTAGTCCGTGATCACAAAAACGATAGACGAAGCGAACCTGGCATATCTAGCATTTCATTTCGGAAAGGTCAAGGAGAAAGGCAGGAAAACGAGCACAAGGGTCGACAAGAGGCTGTCCGGGGGGTAGCCAGTCCGGCTGCAATAATCAATGAAAAGTTATCAGTTAGATGATGAATGACGCAGTGTTACGAAATAACGAAAGGTGACCGGAGTATCACACTAAAGTAAAAGTCAAGTGATTTTAGTCACAGTCATACTAAAAGTTAAAAATTTTTTGAAACGACAAGAAAAACTACGGATGCCATCACTTTTATTAGCAAAACTGTGATAAACTTGAAAAGGACAAGCATCCGCAATCGTAGCAAAAAGTACTGCGGCAGCAGCGATTTGGAAAGCCCTCGTTTTATGCATGTATGATTTAGGATCATTCATTTACATTCAAGAAATGTGAGAATCCTGAACCACTGCAATACTTTTGCATATGTTGCACGTTTACTGCTTGTAAACATAGCAAACGTATTAGAATATGCGTGCAGTACGTAGAGGCTAAAGAATTTAAATAAGTGATGAGACTAAAAAGCGAGTCACAATAGCTGAAAATGACAGGTTCCGAGCCACTAATTAACGCTGCATGAGAAGAGACTTAGAAATTTCGGAAGTAAATGATTATGGTAAAATCTGTCACCTTGACAGATCCTTTCAAGCTATCTTCCGACAATTTTCCTGCATTGAACGCTTCACGAAGTTTTGCATAATCCTGATAGTCTATTCCACCGACACTCATCGGCTTCGGCGAAGCAATAGGAAATAAGACATGCTCAAAAAATGCCAATACACCGTTATCCTCGGAATTACGATCGCAACGGGCGGCATCAATTTTTCTACATACATTTTCAACTGAGTCCAGTAAATCGATTTTCGAATCCTCCTCCGAACTAAACAAACAAACGTTAGCTGTAATGCGGACTTCAGGGTTGACAGAATGCATCAAAAACAACGAATGATACATGGACTCACCTGCTCATTTTGGATCCCTGCAAACCAGTCACCATAGGATTCATGAGGTGAAACCGTTTTCCCAATTTCAGTTTTGGAAGCTGTTCCTCAGCCAAGATGAAAATTTTCCTCTGATCAACGCCCCCAAATTGTCCATCTACTTTAAGATACTGCTCGTCTAACGCTTGTAGTAACGGATACATTAAACCACTTAGCAAAGGCGAAGCAACCTGAAAAATAAAAAAACTAGAGCCGAGGTAATGAAGAAAAACTACAAAATTATTAAGATTTCGGAAAGGAAATAGCTTACTTGCTTTACAACTTCAGCTCCAGCGCGCAAAGCATCACGTCTCGTCACAATGTTACACAGTCGAAGTAAATCAGACGTGTACTCCCTTAAAAATCAGTCTTCCAGACCCAAACACACTGCTGACAAAGAAAAAAAAAAAAAACTTTTATAAATGTAGGACCGTAAATTTGATAAAAAAATTAGCTACGAGAAGTTCGTACCAAAAAGAGTCATATCCGGCCTGCCTTACTCCAGTTATTCCAGCATCACTTGCTCAGTCAACCTTGTGCGAAAATTTAGCAACTTTATGTACAAGATAAAATGAAAACAGGCCGCATCAATCCTTCTCTCCGCCGGCTCCCCCACCCCCTCTCCTCCCCCTGCCACCTCCCTCCCTTGCACAAGTGAATAATTTAGCCCTTCACCCACTTTTACTTAATCTTGACGATTCCAGTGCCAAATGAATACAAAAAACGACTGAAACTCCATCACTTTTTTTTTCTTTTGCCATGCAGTACCGGTCCGCAGTAAGTTTTCTCTGTGACAGTGACAGTAACGGAAATAAAATTTAAAAAAAAAAGGTGGAAAAAAACTGGATGAACTTCGTAAGCTGGAAGGATGTTCCTCGTACAAAATGCAGTTGATCCAGCGGTACGTTCAATGCACTGAGTAATGCTTTTATCACTCTTTCGTAATAAATAACTCGATTATCCAACAAATCCCATGTACTTTTTAGATTGTCCAGAAATGCATGAAGATCAGCGAATAGTATTGTCACCTGAAATTCGAAATCTGTGCAAAGCGCTTAGTCCGTTTCAGCTGTACCTCTTTCTGATGCGCTGGAACGCTGCCTAAAAATCAAAACACACAGAAACGATCTATTTTTCTCTGTGCTACTTTTTGTGAGTTTTGTGCTATGCACAAGACGTACAAAACGCATAATTTCACATCCTTGTCTGTGCACACATGTTTGTGTGCGTGTTTGTGTGCATGCGTGTGTGTGTGCCCGTGTTTTCCCACATCTTCATTTCGAGAACCGCAAAATCTGGGAAGCTGAAATTTTACAGGAATGCCCTCAGCTCATGTGCAACACACAAACTTAAACTCTCAAATATGCCAAAGTCTTACATACGACTGCGTGACAGCCATGGCACGAAAGCCACTAACTGGAAAGCCAGAAAACTAGGAGCCTGAAATTTCGGATGTTCCAAGTACATTTGCGATCCGAAGGTTCTAATTCAGTTTACACGTACGATCATGTTTCACGTGCTCAGACGCAAAATTTTTAGTGGGGAATCTCGCAACTTAGGAACGAGACAACATATCAACTATTTTTGCATACACCAAAGTGTAAAACAGTGAAAATTTTTGACAACGAATGTCCGCTGGACGGAACTGCGCAAAACGCAAGACCATACTGGCAGCCCTGGTGCACGTCGCTATTTATTTATTGCGTGTGGGGAACACAAAAACAGCTGGTATTCGGCAAACAGACCAGCAAGTATAGCAGTGCTCGACTATTGATATATCTGAAAAGCGAATTTTACTCAATCCAACACTTATATAGTGTGGAGTTTTCCAGCTCATTCAGCGTCTGCGTAGTCAACAGACCTCTGGAACTACAGAATACATGCAAAAATACGCGTCACGGTTTGCAAACCTTTATTCCGGCAGCAAGAAAATCAGCTATTTTTCTCATCGGCACCAGATAACCGACATGTGGCCGCCCTGTTGTTGCTGTTCCCCAGTACACATGGATGGTTTTCTTCGCCATGAGCTGCTTCGTGAGCTTTTCCAATCCCAGCACTTCCTGAAGAACTAGGAGCTTTGTGAATTATCGCTAATGATCCCACAATGAAAAAGTCCAACCTGCCTTCTCTCCGTATTCCCTCGCTCTGAGAAGCAGAAGCACTCGGAGGTGGCCCGAGTGGTAGCACGTTTCAAGAACAAGCACTCGGTGGCAAGGCTCACTTCTTCGAGAGTTCTCCAAATTATCAAGCTGATAGTAGTCCTGGCATACGCCAGCCACTTTAACAACTCAACGAGGCCTGGCTGCAGCCTCCGGATGCTGTTATCACATTTCTTTTTTTCCCAATTTCCCACAACTGACACTGAAGCAGCCACAATGGGAATGCAGGGATCACGACTGTTACAAATGTCTGTGCAGCGCTGAAAATCCCCACAGCGACCACAGTGAGGGGTTCCTCATGGACTATGTCTGGCCGGCATGCACTGCAGCGCAGAAATGCAACGGCCCTCTGCCACTTACCTGCAAGTTCCTGGTGATCAAGTCGCGGCGCGCCACATCATCGAGCGACAAGCTCGCCGCAACACCAGCCACTTCCTCGGACGCACTCTTTTCGGAACTCATCCTGGAAAACAACGGACAAATTACGACGCACTCACACCCAGACGCGTGCAACCACCTCCAAAGCGCCCTCAACTACCAATAACTTCCTCCACTCCCCATCGCCACCACCCTGCCGACCGCCCATCAACGCAATTTTGCATATTCCTGTGGCAACTACTAACACCCGGTCCAACCCAATCGAGCCGGGAAGCAAGCCGAACCGCGCCAAACCGAATTTTAGTAAGTTCCGTCTCAGTCAGCCCTGACGGTGCCGTGAAATCGGCAATTACTAAAACTCGGCTCGGCCGGCGCTACACACGTTCTGCAAACAATTTTTATGTGTTTTTGCATGTATGCAAATTGCGAAAATGCATATTGCTAAGACCACGTGTGTATGTGTGCGTGTGTGTGTGTGTACGTGTGTGTGTGTACGTGTGTGTGTGTGTGTACGTGTGTGTGTACGTGTTTTCATCTGTCCAGTTATTTCAACTCAGTAACCAAACGAGCTCCGGCGCCAAAATTTTGCCAGTTTGTTCCCCGGCTAAGCACCACCCAGGACCGCGGTACCAACAGTCACGCACGTCTGAACCCCTCCTGCGAGCGCGTGAAAATTTTGGCGAGAAAATTGCTAACTCGAGAAAGAAAAAAGCTAGGAGGCTGGGGGTTTTGAAGTTATGTCTCCCGCCCACACAAAACTCAAAGATTTCAAATTCAGCCTCCAGGTATGTGTGATTCTCGTATGCGGCCACTTAAATTTTTTGGTGGGGAAATTGCTCGTTGATCAGCTGGGTCATTTTCAAATAATTGGCCAACGCACGGGCTGCG